AAGAGTGCTCTGAAAAGCAAAACAAGTAAAAGAATTTTAAAAAACACAAAAAAATTAAAAAAATAAAGAATTCATTGATAAAGCTAACTCTGACTTAACAATGGCAGAAGTTTACTATGTGCAGGTACTGTGAAATGCCCATCAGTGTTACAGCCATTTGGTTATAGCAGTTAAATGCCAGGTTGGGCAAAACTATGTCATAGATTTCTGCTACTCTTCTCTTTTACTGAATAACATGTGACTGTTAACGAAATAACTCCTATTATTTATTGTTCATCTTTTGTTTTTCCTAAGGAAATGACTTCTGCATATCATCCTATGAGCAGCTCTTCAGAACAGTACATTGAAAGTTATACCTATTTAACGCAAAACCCATTAACTGGAGTAATTAAAACTCTTTTATTTTTCCAATAAATTCACTGAGTTAAATAAGTTGGAGCTGGAATTCTGAACTTTGTGTTTGGACTGTCTGATCCGTAGCTGAAAAGGGGAATATTTATTTAAATCTGTCAGTTAATTCACTGGCTGGGCCTCTGATCTATTACAGGCAACAAACAAACAAAAAATCCCCCAAGTCCATAACTTCTAATGCAACTAAAAAAGAAACTCTTAAGCCGCACATTTGTGCACCATTGTTATCAACATGGCTTTGTCAGTAGTTTATACTTTCTGTGAAGGCACCAGCTTGTGATGTGCCATCTCATTTCACCTTGCATGTGAGACGGCAAACAAAATCCACAAATGGTGTGAACTAGTTAATAAGCCGGCTGTTACCATGCATAAATTATGGTCTTATCACACGGGTTTTTCGTGGGAATACATCTGTGAATAGCCTGTTTTCTTCCACATGTAAATTTGTGCCTTACACCCTCAGTTGTGTATATTTGTGAACTGTAGTATGTAAAACCTCTTTACCCCTATTTGAATAACACAAATATTTATTTATCTTCCCTCCTCCAAGCCCCCTGGAGAATTGGAGTAAAGAAGTTCAAAGAAGAATGTAGTGGTTATTGTAATGACATCATATCCCTCAAGAAACTAGGGAAGTACTATATCCTCCAATTCAGTTTGACTTTCTAGTTGTGCCAATTCTTCCCTCAAACCACCCCCAGGCTATGTTGACAGCATAGGCACTATATTGTGGGTGTCCAATTCCCCTGCCCGCCCCCCCCCCCTTATTCTTTCATATTATTTCAGTATGGTGATATTATCATTAGCCAGCAGAAAAGTGACTAGTATACTGTCTCCAAGTCTGGTGCATCCGCTGGCTGGAGACAAGCACTGTGTAAGATTGGCCAGCCCCTGGAAGAAAGCCTCAGCCACACCTAGGGCCGTGTGCAGTATACAAAATGAAGTGAAATGGAAATAGTACAAGGCAGGCTGGTTCCTGCTGTAACTGAGTAACTGCTACGATAAGGTCAACCAGAAGGATGCAGTGAAAACCTTTTGGGGGATCTGATTTTTATTTTCCTTTGTTTCCTTTCATGTGACTGCATATATACCCTGTGTGTATGCGTGCGTGCGTGCGTGCCTGCATGTGTGTGTGCAAGTTCTTTTACAATTTTTCAGTGGTTTATGCACAACGGTAGATTTGTTTTTAATCTGTTATAATAATTGTGTCAACATACTGTAGAAAATGAGGGGGGTTGTTTTTGTGGGGGGTTTTGTATCAGCTGGACAGTATGTTTGAGTAAGGTGGTTGTTTGGTTTGGGGTTTTTTTAATTTTATACTTTATTTGTTTTACAGGGGTTTGGTTTTGTTTCTGAATGACTGAAAAGAAAGGTTTCAAGTCAGCTAGCGTGTAGATGGTGTTTAGAAAGTCTGGATGGTCTAGACCAAAGTGTGTAACAAGGGTGCCTGCAGTTATTTGATTTCATCCTTTGATTTCATCCAAACAAGACTTGTTCACCACTAGTGAACTATGCAGACTGGAATAGATAGATCTGTATCCAAAGCAATGTTTTTGTTTTGTTTTGTTTTTAAAAAACATCAAAACAGTAGGAGCAGGAAGGTCATTTAAAAAAAAAAAGCAACTCAACTTTCAACCTTTTTACCAATCTCCAAACCCCTGAGTACTAAATGCACAGTGCCCGTTGCTATTACTCAGCAAGCATTCTATCATAATGTAGAAAGGAATAATCACTGCGACAGCTTTGTACAGAGATCTGCCTTTGTAATATACGTCACAGCAGTTACTGTGTTGACCTTGAAATGCCCATTTTGTACTCAGTGGGGCTGCTGTTTTAATCTTCTTCCCAACCTGATTACTCTCCACCCCTTGTTTTGAGGGATCCATAGACCTAAGTGTGCCTTTGCTTTTCACCCTTGCTATACACTGGTAGATGCAACAAATTCAGACTCATCTGTTGTAAAGTTGTAAAATATTGTGATGTCACCAATTTTCCTTCATTTCCACATCCCCCTAACATCTGATTCACAACTTAATGTATGTTGTAAAAAAAAAAAAAAGAAAGAAAGAAAAAAAGGAAAAAAGAGAGAGAAAGAAAGAAAAAAGGAAAGCAGAATAAAAGCTCTTGATTACATGAGGTAATAAAACCAGACTGTTCTACCTTAGTCCTTGTGTCCTGGTCCTTTTGTTTTCCATATTAGTATCTCCTCCTCCTTCAGCTCTGGACTAAAATGTGATGCTGAGGGTTTAAAGTAGGTTACAGCAAGAAAGAAAATTGTTGGTAATTTTGTGTTTCTTACAGAAGATGAACTTGACTTTAGAAAAAAGATGCTGGTAATTAAAATTGAATCACACATTTGCTCTCCCTCTATTCATATTCGGCATTTTCTTTTCATGGGCTTGTTCAGCATCAAATATTTATGGCAGACTCGATAGTTTAAGAGATCAAGGCTGGGATTTTAGCATGCATGGACCACCAAAAATAGATCATTGTACAAATGTAACTTCAGTTCCTTGTTTTATATATTAATAAATGGGGAGTTTGTTTTATTCACAAGACGGGCATAAATGTATTATATGTTATGGGACTGATTTACAGGATGTTGTAACATTATATGAAAGTTTCATTTTGCAAGAAAATTACGATAAACAATTAAATATCAAAATATACATTTCTCCATTCCTGGAGGCTATTAAAAATTACCTGCAAAGTCAACAATTAAATTGCATGACAGAATTCCTTAAATGTGGGTACACATTTAAAAAAAAAGGCCGGGGGGGAAAGGGGGGAAATCCTTATATAAAAAAAAAGAACAATACTGCATTTACTTTACTTTTACTAGTTTTGCAGCTTTTGCTTTTTAATATGAATTTAGAGCTAATGGAAGTGAAAGGCACAATGTAATAAGTGAAACCAGTGCATTTCAGTCTTTAATGCAATGACCCTATCTGTGAGTCAGCACAGTGCTATCCCTATAGGTACTTGTATATCCCAATGTCAAGTAGCTCAATACTAAAACATGAGTTAATCCTCCCAACAGTTAATCCTCCCTGGAAAGTAGGAAAGTATTGTTATCCCTGGTTATACAAATGGGAGAAAAGCCATAGGTGGACTAGATATTAGACTGTTAATTGAAGCCAGTTAAAGAATTATCACTGGCTTACATGGTTTCTTGGACCTGCCCAAGATAATGCAAGAAACCTGTGGCAGAGCCATGAATTGAATCACTGTCTTTTGAATGTTTCTCCAATGTTTTCCCACTAAACAGTCTTTGCTTCCTTCCTATCAGACACAAGCTTCTGTGGAATGGAGACTGCTAGTTATAAGAAATTTTAGTTTTGTGATGTGGGTGCATAGTCACTGATAGCAGGGGTGTAGGTTGTCTGCCTAGTCACTGATAGCAAACTGTGAACCTCCCACATGCATTTGCATTTGTTCTAAGCCTGGGTCTGATCCTCAGGTGATCCTCTACCTCACTGGAAGCTGAGATCACTCTGCACCTCTCTAGAGGTGATCAGCACTTGGCAGCATCAGATACTAAGATCTTCATGTAATCAAAGGGAGCAAAAATGGAAAACATATACAGAATATTAAAGCAATTTATCCGTCAGCAACCAGTGCACTGGTTATTCTCTGGTGCACTATTATTCTCTGAAGTACTTTGTCCACTTTGCTTTTAAACGTGCCAAAAAGTGGAGCATCCCTAGAGACATTATTCAAAAACCCAAAAGAGCTCATTATCAAAGAACTCTTCCTTGATATTCAGTTTCAGAGTTCTTGTTCCTGATATCTTTCTTCTGTTCCTGGTTAGCTTTCATGTAAAATCGTTCCTGTCCATGCTACTCAGACTAATCCTGTTCTATCCTACCTTAACAAGGTATACCTAACTTTTTTCTTTCTTCACAAGTCAGTCCCTTCAGCCCTCTAACCAGTGTTTCTACAACTGCCTCCAGCTATGGTTGTGGACACACAAGCCTCAAAGCAACCTTTCATCACCGCCTTCATACAGAACAATCTCTACAGAGACATCAACACAGCTTCTACAGATAGTCATTCATATTGCTAATGTGCTGTCACACTGATCAACTAGAGGAGGAATAAATGCGGAGGAAAACCATGTATCATGAAATAAGGAGCATTTTTCATTTGCTGTTTAAAAACAAAAGCCAAAGGTGCCACTGAAAACATTAAATAATTGGGTACCACGTTGCAGAAATTCCTCAGGGCTGGCGAGGTCAAGTGAGAAGGTGGCAGGAAGAAAGCAATGGTGCTTTGAGCAGTTTAATCAATTTAATGGCTCAGTATTCATTGTATTAACAGCACTCGTGATGACCTCATTTAGCATGTTATTATGATGCATGAAAGCTCCTTACAAATCAGCATTCATTTGCATACAATCTTGCACAAAATGAAAGGCTGTTTGCTAAATGAATAAAAAAAAGTGGGTTTTGTCAATACATCCTTGTTCACCAGCCCCTATTTATGTGACCTTCACAATGGTGAGAACGGACTCACCCAAACAGTTTGACTAGGCAATGGAATTACTTTTATGAGTATGCGTTTTCCATTTTGC